GTAGCTGCTACTAACCCTGATCCACATGACCAGATTCATGGTGGATCTTTCCTCCTGAGGGAAGAGTCTGAAGTTTGCTGACCTTACAGCCATTTTCCCTGTTTTTCTCTGTGTCTGGTTCTATGACGTCACATTTGTGAAGCGCATTTGTAAGTAAGTACATTTAATCTTCTAGCACTTTTAAATGACAGAATCACTAAGTGCTTCACATAGATCAAAACGTTCGTACGAACGTTCCTGTTGTCCTTCCTACAGATGAAATTTAGGATGTGTGTTCTCCTGATTTATGAAACGTGCGGTGGCTTCTCGTACGCACGTTCCTACGCAACTGTCTGATGATAAATCCCACCAGTGCGTACCCAGTTGCTTGTGTTTGTTCTCCCTCATTTACATACAGAAACACCCTCTATTAACCATATTTGGTCATGCTACGTCCTTAGCATGTGAGGGGATTCCCTGTTTTTTTTCCCCAAAAGAAACCCCAAAAACTTGTGTACTTGTGATCACATAGCATTCGCATAGCATTCTGGGATGTGCGCGGACACGTAGGAAGCTTGACGAGTGTAAACACACCGAGAAACAAACGTACTGTTGCAGAGAAGAATCGGATTTGGGTGAAAAAGTGTTAAACAACATTATAAAATCCCAGAAAAAGGATGCGGAATTCTCAGGGATACGTTAAATAAAGATGTCGGAGACCGGTGCGTGGACACAATCAGCGTTATAAATGGTTTCTTCCACATGAAAGACCCAAGACCGGAGCATAGATGACATATTGTTGCCGCTGCGGTTCTGCATAACGGATGTTGATTAAATTTTTATTTTTGATCGTTTTTATTGTGTTTTTGTTCAGCACTTTGGTCGGCTCTCATGCCGTGGCGTGTTTAAATGTGCTATACAAATAAACTTGGTATGGTATGGTGATATTTTCAGCTATCTTGTTTGTGGTGTAAGCGGATGTAAACATCTGGATGAGAGGTAAACATTTTATTTGCTGGGTTTTCTTGTAAAACAATCAAATAGTCATCCTACAGAAGAAGTGTAGCAGGAGAAGATGTGTTGTGTTTCAGCGCCCGCATTAGCTTACCGGTGTTACATCCATATGTGTTCCCCCCTCGAGATCTCTGTTTCTTTTGCACGCAGCTGCGAGTATGGACCATCCACTCGCAAAAAATGTGTGTCCTAACCTTACCCCAACCCTTACCCTAACCATAACCCTGAAACAAACATAAAAAATGTGTTACACATAATATTTTCAAAAATTATATTTATGCTAAACATACATTTTTGGTGCTGGGTTAGGGTAAGGGTAAAGGTTATTTCTTGTGACTGGGTCGTTTCCACTTGCAGTTGGGTGCAAAAGAAACAGAGATCTCGAGGGGGAACACATGACACCTGTATGTGAGTGTAGCCTCTGTGTGTGTGTGTGTGTGTGTGTGTGTGTTTCGTGTGCATGTCGTGGTTGAAGGAAGGAAACGATGTATAAAAACTTACACCATCTGTAACGTACCAGAATGAGAATACTCCTGAAGGTGATGTTTGGTCGCCTTACAGCAGCGACCCAAGCGAGCCGATGACACTTGGTTAAGCTAGCTACTTGGTCTCCTTATGCAAGCAGGAAAACGGTGAAAAGTTAGCTTGTTCTCCACCTTTCTTCCCCTGGTGATCACATGTGTGCCCACACCACAGCAATGATTTACTAGAGTTGTGTAATATAACCGATCACATGAATAACAGATTAATTTAAGCCACAAGAAGGAGACTGAGCGCTGTTTACAGCCTAACCCTAACAAGCAACAAGGACCCACGCCTCCAACAGGGCGGCTGTGCCGGGGATGACGTCACGATCACAAGACAGCGAGATGGAAACAGTGGCTGCCGAAGCTCAAAAGAAAGCTGTGGAGGTTATGAACGCGGTCAGGATGAATAAAAGAAGGAATCTGATAATGGGTTGTTATTTACATTTAAGGAGTCGTTCTGTTTGGAGTTAGTTTCATTGAGATCATGTCGTCTGGTTCTACGTTGCCCTTTTAAAACACACCATGGCTGTCTTTAAATGCCGATCTCTCTGGTTTTTATTCTTTTTTAAATATTCTTTGATTTTACATCTTACCTGAAAACGTTATTAATACCCTTCAACTCCCAGGATCAATGATCAGCTTTCTTTTGTTATTCCTACTTTTACAATAGAAGTAGGGAAACGTGCCTTTTATGGTAAAGCTCCTCGGGACTGGACCAAGTTACCTGCTCACCTTTTAAAACTCTCTATGAGTACATGAAACTGATCTGCCATTGTTTAGAAGCTGCTGTCGGACTTTCTTTTTGTTGTACCCAAGCAGGATTTATGATTAATAATAATAATAATAATAATAATAATAATAATAATAATAATAATAATAATAATAATAATAATAATAACGTTATAGCAATATTAATAATATTTGATATTACCGTAAATCCTCTAATACAGGCCCGTATTCAATTAATGGCCGGGTATCATATTTTGGCCGGTGCCGGAGTCGGCGGAGGTGAATAATGGCCGGTCTCTTATTGTGGCCGGGTGGAATGTGGTAACAAGCAAGTACGGGGGCGGTTGTGTCATCGTCTCACTTTTGATTTGCCAGTGATAGACCGCGAGGGTAACTTTAACCGTGCGGAGACGAAGAGGAGGCGAAAATTTGATATCAGGTTCAAAGAGAACGTGCTGATTATGCTGCAGAACACTCTGGGGAGCAGTAGTGGTTGTATGAACTAGTCGACTTCACTATAGTGACTTGTTATGCCTGTCATCGACTAGTCGCTGTCACGTGATAATGACCGGCAAGATGCAGCCCTCGGAAAAGACAGCAGCCTGATGTCGGCAGGTGACAAGCTCCTGCGCTCGGGGGGCAACGCGCTGTGCCAGAGCGTCGGTACTGACACGTGATCGTTCATGTCGGTTCATTTCCTTTAATGTTTTCTGTCTTTTATTTGCGCCTGATGCGTTTCGCTGCTGTGGAGCGGGGCGCATCACCTCGTCCTCCGGTGACGCACTGATCACTGATGCAGCCGCCAAGCAGCTCGCACTCCGCTGTTTTAGCGGTCCGTAGATCTTTTAGAACTGCAGTTCAAAGGTAACTCATGAGGTGAATATATATGAACCCAGGTAGCAGTTTCTCTTTAGGACTGAGAGGAGATGCAGGAAGATAATAAACAGGCAGGACAGAAAAATAGTCAAATAAAAACAAGTTAGTTTTTGTACCTGCTGGTTGCAACAAACAGACACCATTGAAGGTAATCAGAAGTGAGGAACAGAAAATGAAATAATTATTTTAATGTTTAGAGCAGCAGGAACTCAGAGAGGCTGCAGGCGCATCAGTGAGTTTGCGCCGCTGCGCAGGGGGAGGGGGGAGGGGGCTGAAGCAGGGGGAGGGGGGAGGGGGCTGAAGCGGGGGAGGGGGGAGAGGGCTGAAGCGGGGGAGGGGGGAGAGGGCTGAAGCAGGGGGAGGGGGGAGAGGGCTGAAGCAGAAACTACCGTTGTTAAAAGAAATGTGTTTAACTTTGAAAATGTGGGCGCAATTTTAATCGTCAAAAACTCCAGCGAACCATTAGTTCATTTTGCTCAAATAGAAATAGAGACCTGCCTCTAATACTGGCCCTCCTTCCAATAAAGGCCTGGAGCTTGATGAGCTTGACTCAAATAAAGGTCCGGGCCTGTATTAGAGGATTTATCGTATTATTAACATTAATAATAATAGTTATAGCAATATTAATAATATTAATATTATTAATAATATTAATAATAATATTACTATTGTTATTAATATTAATAATATATTAATATAATTGTTCATGTTAATAATAATATTAATCTTATCATTAATATTAATTATAATATTAATATAATTAATATTGATATAACTATTATTATTATTATTAATAATAATATTAATATAATTAATGTTAATATTAATAATATGAATGTGATTATTATTGTTATTAACATTATGATTATAATTAATATAATTGTTATAATTAGAATAATTGTGTCCAGTTGTCTTTAGTTAAAGGTTGTGTACAGAGTTTGTTTCATTCTACAGTGGACCGCCTCTGACTTCATGTATTTTATTTCTCTACAGTAGGAGGACCCGCTCGTCTCAAGTGCTTTTATCCTCCTAAAATGTAAATAAATACGTCTGGACATGTTAGTGCAGCCTCAGCCTCTTCTGGTTACCTTGGCAACGCGGCGTGCATGATGGTGGAGCAGAGGAGGTTCTGGAGGGCTTTCTAGTTATGAAGTAGACTCGGATTCGTGAGGTTAGTGTCTCGCGCCACAAAGGGTTCCTTTGAGAGCGCTCACGGAGAACGTGTTCCCTCCAGAGAGAACGACCTGTTAAATCCTCCAATAACAGATCAGCCTTGATATGATGTCAGATTTTCGTCAGTCACAGGCGTCTTTCATAGGTGCTAGCTCCAATAATGAGACAGCAGTTTTCTCCACCTCAATAATTATTTAGCGGGTAAATAAAATTAGTGGTCAGGGTCAGGGAGACATTCAGAGCTGCGGTTCCCCGTTCCACCGCTAGACGCCGCTCGTACGCACAGCTTCACATGGGTAAAGACCACACTGTGTAATTCAGTGCCTACATACGACCTACGTACAGATCTGTGCAGATGTACGGTTCATAAACGAGCCCCCCCCCGGTTCAAAAATAAGCACTTACCTGGTATCAAAACCACGAGGAACCCATGGCTCATAGCAAGCAGGATTAGAACAGCGCTGGCCTGCAATCATTGTTTCGTTCTTCTGGGGAGCCGTGGTCCAGAAGTAGATGGGCGTGGCTTAGGCTCCCTACCGCCATTTCCCACTCGTTTAAATACTGGTAGTCATAGCAACAAGCTGTAGGGCATTTTAACTTCACGCCAGTTCTTAAGCAGCTTTCCTCCTCAGAAACATCTGGTTATGATCGTTGTTGTTATTCATAACTAACCGATCAGCTGACTGTGTCTGGTTCCTACAGGATCCTGACCGAGACCACTTGCTGTCCTGCTTATTGAAATGTCAGGTGGTGATCTATGACATCAGTCAGGAGGCGGAGCAAGTGGAAGCAGCTACATGGGCTGTGACAGGTGAACAGCTGATCCAGCAGCATCTGGACCTGATCAGAACTTTCTTGTAATCAGTTATTATTTCCTGCAGCCCTTCATGCTCGGATGGATCAGTTCTCTGAACCGAAAATCTTTGTCCTCCTTTCCACGGTGATGACCTGGGTCTCCAGCAGCTCACCAGCAGCAGTTAGTGGATTACTCATGAAAGCTCATTTTGACCTTGGGGCAGATCCTCTCCACTTCCATAAATAGACCTGAACCCTGAGAAGGTGGACACAGGTGTAGCTCCTCCTCCCGTGGAGCAGCATCATTGGTCACCTTCAGATGAACCCCGCCCACAGGAAGGGGGCTGACTGACAGCTGCTGTTTAACTTCTAGCTGAAGTGCGCTCCAGCAAACGCTGACACGGTCCTCACCTGCAGGAGCTGACACGAAGCCCTCTGGTGTTGCTTCTGTCTGAGCTG